AGGTTTTTAGATACTTCTAACTAGTTTTATTTCCAGTCTTTAAAATATTTTGACTTCCTACCTTTGCCAGGCTTCTTTTGTACTGTGTGCCTCTCTTTGAATTTCTTGATGATTCTTCTCACTCCTGTTCTTGACACTTGGAAATGCTGTGTAACTTTTTCTATCCATCTCCTGCTTTGCGAGCATCAATAGTTATTTCTAAACGTATTTCTTTTGTTGTCAGCTTGATGCATTCTCAAAACAGTTTTTTGCTGTTTTATACTAATTGTAAACTGGAAGATAATCCTCAGTTTTAACTTGATTTTACAAGCTTTAAGCATTACGAAGTTAAAGCACATAATTGCACAGCAGTGGTTTGCCACTTTATCATGGGGCTAGTAATACTGACCCTGTTTTTTTGTTTTCTTTTTCTTTTTTTAAATAGGGACTAACAATTTTGGTCTCATTTGTATATAAATTGTGACAAACCAAATTTTATGATTTAACTTTTGTTTTTATACAAAATTGTCTTCATATTATATTTTCAAACCTGTGATTTGTCAGACTTTTGGCCCCACTGTGACACTTGTGTATGTGTGATACATGATGCAATGCTGGTCACAAGCTTTTTAACTGTAGCATTTAAATTTTTCACTTAGTTTAATTGCTCTGTCTATTGCCTAAGACACTGGTCTTAGGATTGATATTGGGATAAAACCATGATTGGTCTTTATATTTGCCCTGCCCTCTTCTAGGGCATTACATTAATAGAGCAGGAATCATCTCCTGCCCACAGAGAGAGCGATGATCCTCACTGATCTTTCAAAGCCCACAATGATTATAGGTTTCTTCTTCCTGCTCTTCTTCATGGGTAAGTGCATTTAATTTTTTAATTTTTAAAAATTCATACAGGTTATAATTTCTGCTGCTTTAACATTTAAGGCTTTTTTTCTGGTTAAGAAGAAAATATGATTGCAACATGTATATTATGTGCTGCCATCACTCAGGGTACTATCTCTCGTGGGCACAAGGGATTATAAATTAAATTATAACATTTTTACAATTAAATTGTAAAAATGAAAGATAAGGAGAAACCAGAAAGCGGAGCATTACAAGTTTTGGATATAATAAAAGAAACGTTCTTGCTCTAGAAAAGTTTATTAAGGCTACGTACACGGGTATTTTTGAAAACTGAGATTTTCCGTTTTCGTTTTAAAAAATAATCCCGTCCACATGTAAAGGCAGAAATGAAGGAAAACGCTGCTAGGAACATGCCAAAGCAACAGGTGGCGATATATTCCTAATCGTGCAGAAATGTTGGCCAATCAGAAGTCTAGAAGCCTCGGTGGGAAAAAGTAAACAAAGCTGGGGCATAGAAGCTAGTGATGTGCGATACCACTGACTTCCTTTCCTTTCCGATACCAAGTAAAATTCAGGGTGGTATCGACGATACTGATCCGATACCGATGCTTTGTACAAAAACATATTTTATTTATTGTATCTTTTATTGTATCTCAAATTATAGCTTCATAATGATTAAAGGGCATCAGATTACTTGTTCTTATCACTTAATAATGCACAATTATCATATAGAAATAAAAAAAACTGAAGTTGTGCGCTATTTGAACATGTTGCCTGCCTGCAGCACTAAAGGACTCCGTGAGAGACGTCTGTCTCACCCTAGCAGCACCTGTCCCTGTCCTCCTCTTCACTTCGCCTCAACATAAGCTTGTCATATTCTGTGCTATGATATACTCTGAGGTGCTTGATGAGGTTAGTGGTGTTGCCACAACACCTCACATTCTTGCCACATGTATCTCTCGGCCGTTTGTGGAAGTCAAATACGTCCGCACATGACTCCATTTATGCTCAGCCATTGTTGTGAGTGCACACGCCTAGTGGCTGCTACACATTGATACAGCCGTATTTCACACATGACTATGACAGGCGGAAGAAGAAGTAGTTCCTTCCAATGTAGACAATCCGAATGATATAGTTTCTTTCCACTGTGTTCCTGTTAATGATAAACTACAAATTTACCCTAAATTACTAAAATATCGATATTTTAATATGAGAATCGATTCTAGAACATAAATGACTGGTATTGGAGGAATCGATATTTCAGTATTGATCTGCACATCACTGATAGAAGCAGAACCGAATCGTATGTGTGGAGGGACAGTAACTGTGTGTGTATATGTAAGCATTTAAACACTGCAGAGTACAATTAACAGTAACAGTATTGTAGAAATTCATTTCACTGAAACAATAACGTGGCGCACAGTGTGACGTCAAAAAATGCGCACACCTTTGACGCTGCGTTTTCTCAGTTTTTCTCGCCCACACGTAAATGCAAAAACAGAGTTTTCAAAAATATCCACCCTGGCCGGAGTTTTTAAAAATCTCAGTTTTCAGTGACCGAAAATGCCGTTTACGTGTGGGCGAAAGGTGCAAACGCATAGAAAAATCTCCGTTTTCAAAAATACCGGGGTACGTGTGGACGTAGCCTAAGATTAGTCATCTATGTACCTGCAAATTTTTGTAGTGTATGTGTGTGTGTTTTGTATCCAAGATTTAGCCATTTACCTGATTTTGATATTTGTAAAGATTTAGTATTATACACTTTATATATAAAAAGCAATATCCGTTTCCTGCCTACAAAATTGTGGTTTCTACAGCCCTCTAAATCTGCTGTGGATGATTGGACATCCAAATACTAATTCCTAATGACAACTACAGACAGAGATTAAGTTATGCTTAATTCCTATTAAGAGGTATTCAAGAGAAAAAAAAGAAGTGTTCAGGAAATTCTGCAGTGGTCAGAGGGGAATGATCTTTCTTTCTTGCATTTTGTAAAGTTAAGAATGGATGACCCTCCTGCCTCCATTTCTTTATATTGATCATAAATGATGTGCAGAGAATTCAAGTGCACTTACATGGAATTATTTTTATTTCATAACTGTTACGGCCCTAGCAGGCCCTCCTCCTGAAATTGACCTTTTGTGGGTGTCTTCTCCCATATCTCCTGCCTTAGGAGCCAGCTTTTTTGTATAGCTGACTCCCATCAGCAATTAAAAATACTTAAGGCCAGAGAAAAGTGAGCTCTAGTGCCAGAAAGCTTTGTTGGGTTGCAGCTAGTGAGCGGTGTGTGTGGTGGTTAATTGCTCCTTTTCTGCAGAGAGGAGTGTGTTTGGGTACCGACCCTTTTTGGCTTATTTTCAGTTTATCAACAGTTTTGTTGTTTTCTTTCTTTTATTAATAGAAACATTAATAAAACCTGTTAATTTAACCATTTTACCTCCCTGTCTCCTTTTTTCAACCTGGAAACCTTTTGTTACTTTCCCTCATCCCCTGGAGCTTTTTAGGGGAACAATAACTTGCGAGCAAAAATATAACAGTATGTGCTGTAACATGTCCTTGCTGCAGATTGAGCAACTTTTTGTTGGCAGGTTTAAATTTTGCTGTTTAAATATTTTATTTTTTAAATCCAAAGGGCTATATAATACAGGGACAGCAGTGCAGAGGCTTCAGAACTTGCCTTAGAATCCTTTGATTTAAACAGTTTCTTCAGCAGTAATGTAATCCAGTGATTGTTGTCAGGATTTCCACTGTCACACAGCAAACAATAATTGTTAATTATTAATTCGGCAATCTTTTTTTCCAAATTAAGACAACGCTGCTGCAGTGTAACTCAGTTTAATGATGTAGCCTGAAGTGTCTTTCAAAGTGACCAGTAACATTAGTAACCCGTCCTCCTTTGGGCTCCGCCCCCAAACATTCAAAAGTTGATTCTCTCTGGATTATGTTCTTCCTCATGCTTAGTTTATGATATAAAAATTATTCAATACGTTTGCGCTAAACTACATTCTTCAAAAGCACTATCAAAACTGCATTTTAAATTGTGCCCAACATGATTTTACTATGTTGTTTCATGCATCTAAAATAACAAGTCATGAAAAATATCTTCAGCACCAAAGCAGCAATTATAAATAGGAAAAAACTGAAATTAAATGTTTGGCACATCGAAATTAGTTTCCATCCTGTCCCATCATAGTTTCATTTCTCACTGAAGTGATCATTTGCTGAAAAAAGGAATGTTTCCTTTCCTTCATAAAGAATCTTTTATCCCAACCAAGCATCGGGCCCTTTATTACTGTTAATAATACTGATTACTAAGCATTGATACACCTATAAATCTTTATCTCATGAAGATAAAATAAGACAGAATAGCTACACATGTTAAATGTCATATTACACTTGAAAATAAAAAACACTTACACTGAGTGTTTTTGCTTGTAATAAGAATGAAGTCTGTGAGAGGAACAGCTAAAAATTGCTTGAGAATGTTTTAATTGTATGCATTTGTCAAAACACAACTAGTCCCTTATCAAATCATTATATCATACTACAGCAAATCTTTATGAGATAATCAGACTAAACATTAAATGTATATGCTAGTTTTTTTGTTTGTTTGTTTGTCTTTTTCTACACATAATGCTGAGGTAGACTGTCCCTAGGTTGATTCAGTGTCTCACAAAAACAACTCTGTACTTAGCAAATTAGCCAGCTACTATATATTATAGTCTACATTCAACCTGTGTAGGGGCAAAGTACTGTAGCAGATCCTTGTGCTGCTGCTGAGCTGATTGAAGGATATGTTCTTAAGTGCACATATAAAACAAATATGTAGGACTGCTTTCTTGAATTTGCAGAATATCTCTAAATTTAGTGTGTCATGTGAAATCCCCAGCAGCATAGGCCCATTGCAGCAAAATGATCTTGACAGGATGTCTATGAGTGTTTTCTTTCTTCACCCTCCCTTTTTTCATCACTTTTTTTTTTTTATCACTTCTACTCTGTAGAAGAAATGCAGTTTGTCTTTTGTCTCATCTTCCTCCTCTCACCCCTAACCAGTTGTGACAGGTGGCTCCCCCATCGTGAGCCTGGCTCTGCCAGAGGTTTCTTCCTGTTAAAAGAGAGTTTTTCCTTACCAGTGTCACTAAGTGTTTGCTCACAGGCGGTCACCTGATTTGTTGGGATTTTCTCTATATTATTGTAGGGTCATTATTTAAAGTCCATTGAGGTGACTGTTGTTCTGTGATTTGGTGCTATATAAATGAAACTGAATTGAATGTACTTTTTTCTGTCAGGGGGAAATGCCTCCAGCGTAGAGCTGCAAGATGACCAACAGACACTCAATGAGACAATTACCAGAGGTAATGAAAAAACACTTCAAAACTTATTTAAAAAAACAAAAATATGCAGCACCTGGAACACAAAAATGTGAAAATGGACGGGTACATAAATCAACAATCTTTATGTGGTGTGCGTGCGTTCATGTTAATGTGTGTGTGTGAGAGAGAGAGATGGAGGGAGTGACAAGTGGGGAGTGTGTATGTGTGTGTGTCACAAAATGTACTTGAAAATAAGGGTGGGAATCCAAAATAATGGCTCCCAGGAGCCAGAGGCAGACAGAGATTGATCAAGGGGAACCGGATCATCTGCAGTCCACAAGAGTACTGAAAATCTCACCTTTAATGGCAGATAAGTTAGATAGTTAGAGTTGGTGGTCTATTTCCTAGTCTGGCTCTGCTTGCTGGACATCCCGGATGAGTGACTTAATCTCCCAGGTGAGGGATCGGATTACACATGAGGGAAGCAAAATGGTGTCCTCCTTCACAGACTCATCGGAAGAGAATTTTCAAGACAAAGTATTAGGCTTCACATTGAGAGAACCTGGTTTATAGGTTATTAAAACCTATAAAACCTGCTATCTAAAACCTGCCGGTGTCCTGCAGGTTTTAGATATCACCCTGGGTCAACACACCTGAATCAAATAATTAGTTCATTACCTCTCTGGAGAACTTCAAGACATGTTGAGGAGGTAATTTAGCCATTTGAATCAGCTGTGTTGGATCAAGGACACATCTAAAACCTGCAGGACACCGTCCTTTGAGGCCTGGAGTTGCCCATCCCTGGGTTATGGTAAAGCTAAACTGAGTAAAAAATGAGAGCCCAGGATGGTTCCTCAGGATGAACCAGGATCATAGTAGAAGCGAAGGATTGTTTCAGGGCGTCGAAGCTTTGTCAAACCTTGAGGAGCTAAGTGGGTGAACAGCAAGGCAATCTCGCTAAAATCCAAATACTCACCAATAATAAGTCGTTGGTAAAAAGGAGCAAAGCCCAAAAAGTGTTGAAGTTGTTTGCTTTTGGGAGGAACTCACTCAACCAATGGTTGGACCTTGGCTGGCTCTGCCCTTAATTGACTCTTCTTATTCATGAAACCCACAAAGGAAAACAGATTGGACATGAAACTTGCACTTCTTACTAGAGATGGACCGATACTGATAAGTAATATTGGATCGTTCCATCTCTACTTCTTACATTTTACATATATCATCATTTATTGTGCCCGCCAGTATCTCATAAGTTACTGCTGGGCTTAACCTGCTGGCACACGAGGCAGTTCGACAAAACTGCATCTCATTCCACAGTAGAAACACTCATCAGAAGTTAGGTACCTGTGTCTTACCAATGGACAGACGAGCCTAACCGAGCTGGATGGTGGGTTGCTCGCCACTCTCTTCTGACTCACTCTCTCAGGGATGGAAAACTTCATGGAGGACTCCCAAAAAATTGATTATGTTCATTTGGATGTAGCGTTTTCAAGTTTCATCACTTATCCAAATGACTTCTTTAGTCTCAGCTAAATGCAGTTTTCCTCAACCTTATAAACAGTACATCTGCATAATGACTGAAACTAACACCATGGGCCAACAATGAATTGTGAGGTCAATTTCTTGGTCATTAATATGCAAATGTTCATGACATTGATCAACAACCACTGATCAAAGACAATTGATCAGTACCATTCACAGACTTGAGAAATGGCTGCAATAACAGCATTGTAAGATGGTGAAAGATGTACCCTTATGCCTCCTCTTCGATTCAGAGATGGTCTTTCCCCTTTTACGGAAAGCCTCCTTGAATCCTGGGCTGAACTCACTTTATTAGCTGGTAAGATGCTGTGTTAGGGTTGGATCCTTTGTCGAAAACATGTCTTTGTCTTAAGCTTGATAAACTCCTCAAGGGGAATCTAATGACAAAGAACTATAACAACCTAGGCATGATAAAAATGAACTTAGAAAACCTGAAGGGCTTAATCATAAACCATAAACTAAAACTCAAAACGCTGGGTCAAAAGACCCAGGATCGTGACATGCCACACATCTGGGAAGGAAGCCCTCAGCACGGCTGGGAGGCTCAAAGCCTCCACCTGGGCCTCCCCTGACCGTAACCGGAGCAGCCAGAGAGCCCACGTTTTTGCCAGTCACTGGCATGCCTGCGCTCTTGCCTGGTGCCGGCAAGGAGCCAGACCGAGGTTTTCCAATACTTCTTTCTGCTGCTCAATTTGCACCTGCAGCTCCCCCAACTGCTTCTGATGCATTGCCGCTAGCTCAGATACCATCTTGGCTAGCATGTTAACACTGGCTGGCGGGTCGGGACTCCAACATGCTGGTCCGGGGTTTTGGCACTACTGTAGACAAAGGCCCCAGCACAAACCAGATATGGTTGCTTGTGCAGTTTTATTTATCTATTGAGTTGCATTTTCACATTTTTCAATGCCAGCCCGATCCCCACTTCCTCTCCTGCCAGATGACCAAGCTCCTCTTCTCTGGCCCCAGCCACTACTGAAATAGGGTGGGCATGATCAAATTATGGTTGCCGGCTGTGACAACCAGCCTCTCCTGACACTACACCCTGCCACAGTGACCGACAGTACTGAGAATCACTTTAATAAAAATTAAAGCTCAGCATTATACAGACACAAAAACATTCTCCATAATATATTCATATCCATATATACCATAATATCTGAATCATAACTCACACATGCAAAATCAATTAAAAAAATATAAAATCATGATTAATGAAAAAATGTTTTAGGAAGTTATTTGCTCTTGGCTGGTGTAAGTTGGTGCTTAGTTAACTTAAGCTTTGTGACGGCTCTGATCCCAACCGTAAAAAAAATGACTTGCTTCCTTTCTTATTTTCCAGTTTGTACATTCCTGATTCCTCTTCAACTCCTCTCCTCACATCTCAGGTCCTTGTATACAAAATAAAAGTCACAAGAAGGGAGAAATTGAAGCAATTAAAAATGAGGCTCTGAAGCAAGCATTTCTAATTTTGGTAAAGTGATGTTGGTTAATTAATTGACAATTGGCACAACTTAGACAGCAGGTTCACACTGAGCACATGTCATAGATGTAAAGAGTCAGGAGACCTTCATTTGACCATTGGAATCACTCAAGGAGTTCATGTAATGTGCATGAAGTCTCTTCCTGACAGTTCAGAAACACATGCACATGATGCTGGAGGTAATTTTGTAGGGTTTTTTTAGGGCTGTTCCTGGTTGTATTTGAAATAGATTCACAATGGTTATGCCTCCTAACCTATAGACTGAGATCCCTGAATTTAAAAAAAATGTTGTTTTATACTGTGGCATGTGAAACCCCCAGCAGCATAGACTTATAGCAGCATAACGTTGGAAGGACTTAGGGTCACCTAATCCAGACAGGATGTTTATGAGCGTTTCTTCCTTTATTATATGTTTATACACCGCTGTGCATTTATTGATGGCAGTGTGTCTTTTGTCTTGTCTTCCTTCCGTCACCCCTAACCTGTTGCGACAGGGAAAAGGGAATGTCCACACACATGTCCCACTTCTCCGAAACCACTCTCCTCTTCAGTCACTCATGTCTCCACACGCTTCGCCACTCAGTTGCTCTCGGGAACAATCACACAGGGTTACAGGAGCAGGTCTGGGGAAAATCTATTTACAAAGAAACACGATCAGAAACTGACTTGTAAACACAGTTTTAGATACTGCTTGACTGGGTAGACTAACGTAGGCTACTCAACAATCCAGCGACGAGTAGGACAGAACGGCCATTCTAAATAGTGCTCAGGATTGCAGGAGATCAGTGGCAGGTGTGATGATTAGCACAGGTGCGTGGGCCAGAGGCAAGAGCAGAGACAGAGGAGAGAGAGCGAGGGAAGGAGAGAGAGAGCACAAAACAAAACAAAAATAAACATGTTGCCTAACACCGAACCAGCCAGTGAGACATGGGGGCCATGACAGAAAAGGAGTTTGTCCTTACCACTGCTGCCTTACCAAGTGCTTGCTCAAAGGCAGTCATCTGATTGTTGGGGTTTTCTCTATATTATTGTAGTGTCAATACCTTACAACATAAAATACATTGAGGTGACTGTTGTGATTTGGTGCTGTATAAATGAAATTGAACTGAATGTACTTTTTTCTGCTAGGGGGAAATGCCTCCAGCATAGAGCTTGAAGATAACCAACAGATGTTCAATGAGACCTTTACCAGAGGTAATGAACAAACACTTCAACAGTTCACAGAAATTCAGTTTATACATTTTATAATGTTTTTTTCTGCCACTGTATTGTTTAATCAAGTCTTAGAATCTAAGAAACTGAAGTGCTTTAAATAAAATTCTGTAAAAAAAATTTGGGGGCTACAATTTATCAATATTTGTAATGAAGGGGAATTGTGAGATGAGTTAATGGGATATTATGAGAAGATAGTTGCATGAAATTATAGCTATATTGATAAGCAGGGTTTTGTCAAGGTGCAGCGTGGAAAAAGCAGGACTCAGGCACAAAATCTCTAAATGTAACAGTGATTTAATTTACTGTGAAATATTGCAACAACAGTTCAACACTAAGTCCTTTATAGAGATGACCACGGTTCAGTTTTTTTTTCTTTTTAAGATCCCCTCTGGCAGCTTATGCAATCAGAATTATGATCTGAATGCACTGTTGTTCCAGACACATTTTGCTTTTCCAAGATCATCATATCATTACTTTCGATCCCAACATCATTATATACTGTATCAATAAAAAAATTAAAATATTTAAAGCATCGTCCTGGTTCTGGAACACTGGATCAGCATTTCATCCTCTCAAGGATACTTGAGGGTGCATGGGAGTTTGCCCAGCCAGTCTATGCATTTGACCGTGTCCCTCGGGGGGTCCTGTGGGGGGTGCTGAAAGAACGAGATCGCAGATACAAGCGGCAGAAATGGGCTTCCTCCGAAGGGTGGCTGGCCTCTCCCTTAGAGATAGGGTGAGAAGTTGGGCCATCCGGGAGGGGCTCAGAGTAGAGCCGCTGCTCCTCCACATCAAAAGGAGCCAGATGAGGTGGTTCGGGCATCTGACAAGGATGCCTCCTCGGCGCCTCCTGGGTGAGGTGTTCCGGGCATGTCCCACCAGGAGGAGGCCCCGGGGCAGATCCAGGGGGCTGGGTTTCATCTGCTTGGGCTGCTGCCCCCGCAACCCGGCCCCGGATAAGCAGAAGAAAATGGATGGATGGATTGATGGATATTTAAAGCAGGAGTTCAGTATGTTTTCTTTATTTTAGGAAACATACAGATTTGAGTAAAACATCAAACAAATGATGTATTGTCTTTTCTGTTAGGGGAAAATGCCTCCACTATAGAACAACAAGATGATCAACAGTCCAGCAAATCCAAAGGTATACAACAATGTCTTCAAGGTTAACAGAAATTATTAAATTTTATAAATGTGTTTTGCCAGTATGTTTAATTCACAATACAGAGTCACGTATCTAAAATGTGCTCAGAATATAATTCTGTAAAAATCATCCCATGTACATATACTAATCATGAGTGTCATTATAATTTTAAGCTTTGAATAATTTATTTTAGCTGTTCTTTTTCCAGGGTGGAATGATTGTATCGCATACATTTTTTTTTTTTTTTTTTCCCAGATATTTTTATTAAATTTTCTGCATCCATTTTTACAAAAGACAAATTGAACAATATGCTGTTTTCTTTTTGAAGAACATAAAACAATATGAAACATACACTCCCACCTCATAATTATAGGAGTACCAGTGGGTGTACAAAAAGAAAAAAGAAAGGGTCCAATCTAATAATACGAATAGTAAACCCTGGAGTACAAGATAACAGTTCCTGAGTGTACAAGAGAGATGTGGAGAGTTTCAGAGCCCACACCCCCATACAGACACAAAACAAAACAAAACAAACAAACCAAGAAAAAAAAAACAAAAAAACCACAAACACAAACATAATGAGTGGTCAGCTTAGTTGTAGAGATAAGTCAAATCTGTAAGAGAAAAGAAATATGTATAAAGTAGGTAAGTAAATGCCATCATAAAGCGCAGGCACAATAGAGTCCATATACTTAAACATAAGATAAAATAAAATAGAATAAAGTCTGAGCTGGCTAATTGGGAGCGTTGCGGGACCACAAAGTCTGAACATGGTCAAAAAAGGGTTGCCAGATCTTAAAAAATTTGGCCATAGACCCACGCAGGGTGAATTTAATCTTTTCGAGTTTGCTAAAATGCAAAGCATCTCTGATCCAGTTTTCCCAGGATGGAGGAGAATGGGACTTCCAACATAACAATAATCTGCGTCTTGCCAATAAGGTGAGAAATGCTACCAGATCCGCTTGGGGCGTCGGCAAGACAACTGTATCAGGAAGAACCCCAAACAAAGCAGTTAAGGGCACAGGTTGGAGGGTTAGCTGGATGATTTTTGATAAAGTCAGAAAAATATGAATCCAGTATTGTTTAAGGGATGGACATGACCAGAACATATGTATTAGAGAGGCAGGTGTTTGATGACAACGGTCGCAAACGGTCGTACAGCATACATCTTTAATGACTTTAATAAACAAGAGCTGGGTGCACAGGTTTCTTTAATTTCCAAAGGGGTCAAAATTATATAGTCAGACCCCCGAGAGGGACGAAAGGACCCCCTAATGATTTTGTCCCTCTTGGGGGGATACTCCCACAGGGCTTAAATCTGGGACTCTCCACCATTTGATCCTAGAACTGAAGAAGCTTATTGGATGAGAGGTGAAACGTCTTCAAACAACTTAAAGAAGTTCAGACGGTTTTCTTTCTAAGCTCCTTAGATTACGATGACCTGGATGACTGAGAACCTTCATAGACAGATTGTCCATATGAGCAACTGCAATTTCAGTTGAGCTTAAAAGTGTTATTTTTAGTCACAAGCAGAGCGTTCTTTCTTGGTTGGCATTTTCTTTGTCTATTGTGATGTAAAACTCACTTCATAGTGGACAATGATGTTGGTGTTTCAGCAGTTTGCAGTTTATGGCAGGGTTGAGCCTCAGTGATTATTGGGTTTGAGAACACCATAACCAAGTTCCCCTCATCTATTGGAGACAATTTGGGTTTTCTTTACCTACTACTTACTTTTGCTGTTATTTACAAATGGCTCCAAGAAACCTTCACAGAGTGTGTAATTTTAAAATTCTCCTTCTTAGATCTTCTGTGAGTTTTTTTTTTTTTTTTTTTAACTTTTCCAGGTTCTTCTTAGAAATTGAGAACTGTGCCATATTGACATTTGATTCCTGGTCACAGACAAAAGGTCAGATGAGACAGAAAAGTGCAAATGAGAAAAAAATAGAAAATAACACAAGGAAAAAGAGGAAAGGCTTGAAATATAACACACAATGTGACATAAGATTACATTAACATTGAAAGCAAAACAAGAAGTAACAGTATAGAAGAGATTTCCTTGGATCACAGTTATTGTTTATTTAAATTAACTGGCTAGAACATGACATGATGATAGAATATCCTAACAATGTTAGACTATTATCGGATTGAAGTGTCTAAACTTCCTGAATATCAAAGATAAGACATTGAGATCTACAAAATACAAACATCTTAACATTTTTTCCAGCTTCATCATCGTGTCTCTCAGGTCTCGCACTAACATGACTTTGTAGGTCATCGTGGCCAAACAAAGTTATGATGAGCTTAAGATGAGCATGAAAGTTAGCGTTTTTATACCATTTTTATATTCATTGACAATGTGTCTTTATATCATTTCAGAAGATGAAGAGAATAGTCCTAAAAGCTGCAGATATGTTGACATTATAAACTACCTGAACCTGACCCAAGACAAGGACATGTACATTATGACAAGGCCTGTGGAAAATTACAGTGATGTTACACCCGTATACCATATTATGGCAGTTGAAGCCATCTTAGATGTGGTAAGTTGTTCTGGCTAATGTTGCTGCCTTTCAAATAACGAATAGGTCATTGTTCTGGGTCTTTGACCCAATGTTTTGTGTTTTTTGGACTTCTGAATTCTGTTTTCCATGATTTGTTTTCAGTGTGACTATTCGTTTCCTTACTGTTTAGTTTTTTAACATTTATGTATTTTCTTTTTAATTAAACCTGACAGAATATTTGCTTCTTTTTCTTTTATCTGAAAAAGTCCCCTTCTAAAACAAACAAACAAATCATTAGTTTTTTCCACTGGAAAATGTTGTCGTCCACATTCAGTCAACATTGTATTGTACTGCCTCCACTTTTGTTTATGCTGTATAATAAAGGTAGATTTTGAAAATAACACACACAACGTGTTAAACTGTGCAACACATCAAGGGTGTTAAGCTTTTAAAACACTTTTTCAGTGTTTACACATTCTTACACATTTTTTTATTCCTACCTTTCATAACTTTTATTTGACTATTTTTGGGGACTTGCTCAAACTTCCTTCCCCACATGTGGAAAATCAACTTTGAAGCCTGGCTGAACTAACAATATGTTTGTTTTCTTTGCTCACAGAGGAACACTGACCAGAGCCTTGTTTCTTACATTTGGGTTCAATATGTGAGTATTCTCTTGGAAATACACAATTTTCCGTTGTTGAAATTCAAATGTGTTATAATCATTTCTTTTAATCCTTTCTTTCTGTTTTTCTCTGCTTGTATCTTTTTCTTCTCTTTCACACCATCCTGTGTAGCATTGGCGGAATCGGTTCACATATTGGGACCCAGATAATTTCTGTGGACTTGAAAATATAACATTTCCTACTTCAAATTTGTGGACGCCAGATCTAACTATTGAAGAAAGGTACATTTTATATGGAAACACACCCACACTTACAGATGCACATATAGTCACTAATGATGAAGACTAAGTATATATTTTTTTAATTTATCAAATGATTTGCAAACTGAAAAGGAATATAGCCAAGACAAGGTTAGAATTAACAACTGCTAACTTAAATATTGACATTGTGCTTTTAAACTTTTCTCATCAAAGAATCATCCACTCTTAGAAATCTCAGCCTCACAGAACCTCGATGTTCTAGCTGTCTTTCTGTTGAATATTATTTTGAAGTATTTTGCAGTGTGCTTTAGTAAAGTGCCTCCCAGTTGTCAGTTTCATAGGCATTAATGCACCTCCATACCACACGCAGGCGTTTTGAGTTGGGTGCTGACAACAACCCAGATTATCCTTGTTCTCTTTAGTCCAGAATATGCTGTGTCAATGATTTCAGAAAAAGAATATACAATTTCAATTTGTCTGACCACAGAACAATTTTCCAATTTGACTCAGTCCTTTTCAAATGAGCATCGCCTAGACCTAACAGCATAAAGGAGGACAAGTAGGTGAGTTTTCTTACTTCCAGAAAAGCAGAGCCAGTGGCAGCTTAAAAATCAAAACATGAAATGTGACCATGAGAACTTCGCAAGAAGTTCTCAACTTATGTAAACATTTACCACTAAGCCTCAGCACCCATTTTTTTAAAGCACATAAGGCGCTTGTCCATGTGCAACAACAGCCTATTAAGTAACAAAATATCTGCATCTGAGTGGCCATCCTATCTGGAATACACTGTCAGATATCACAGTGTGACCCATGGTGAAAAAGGGGGATAAAGGGGAAGAGCTAGTACAGTGAAGAGAGGGTGGAGCACTGCTAAGAGGAACAGTCATGACAGGAGCACATAGAGGCTGTTCCTCAGGTCTTCAAGGGACATGTGGAAGAATAGGAGGACAGAAAGACAAGGCTCCTGCCAAAGCAGTGAGGTATGGGTGTGGTGTAAATGATGGGTACTCCTGAAGGCATGTGAAAAAGTGTGACCAGGTGGTTTGCATAAGCTGCTGGTGTACCTGATGTGGAGCAGGTCACCACCGGACTGGTTATGCATGCAAAATATTGCCAAAAGTATTCACTCTTCTGCCTTGACACACATGAACTTGAGTGACATCCCATTCTTAATCTATCCATAGTTTTCACCTGATGTCAAAGCTACTGGGACATGCCCACCTGGCAGGCAAAAACAGCACTGTGGTCCTTTGCCGTCTACTTGTTGAACTTGTTTGAGTTTAACGCCAGATAGTTGATGTAGTTTATGTGCTATCAGATGCACTAATTAGTGTTTATTTACAGCTGCCAGAAGGATGTAAAGTATGGCATCAACATATGAACACACCTCTTCTAACCCTGCCTTAGGCCAAATTGCACCATCCCTGCTCCTCCACAGTAACCCAGGCAGTTAGGGGTTTCTCATTTAAACTGTAGGAATGATTTACCTGGCATTGGAAAAATACTTGAATAACTTTACTTGCAATACACAACATCAATGTGACAAATTAATTCTGTGTGGACTTTCTGGCACTTTTCCACACTGTAAATGTCCAGGTCAACAAACTGTAAGATTTAATGTGTTTGAGCTAGCTATGTAGTGCTTACCTTTGCTTCAATGATGAACAAGTTCTTGTACTTCACCTGTTCCATGGTGGCATTGTTTACCCATCCAGATCGAAAATGTATATAACTGGAACTGAACTGGAGCTCTGTGAGAGAAGTCACCACTTTTAGGGATTTAAATAAAGCTGCTGGAACAGAATATGGATCACAAGTCTCCAAAATTCAGTTTCTCTTCAAACCTTTGTTTTTCCTCCATGGATAGACGAGCCAAGACAGATGAACAAACAACCACCTTTGTCCTGCATTACTACCAACTGTCTACTATTTGTGGTCACAATGGAGTAATGTTTTGCATGTCAGAGTAGTGAGTCTGATTGAAAACTATGGATAGAGTACAATGTGATTGTAATAATGATATGTCAGACATGTCCACACATACATGCTTTTCGGCATCTTTATTAACACTTATCAAGTTTGCTGCTACAAACACGCTCAGTCAGCTGCAGCTCTGCAGCTCACAGCCCAACTCACATCAACAACAACACTGAAATCCAGGACGCAGAAACTTTTAACCCGGTGAGGCGTAATTGCGGATGCCCTGCAGGTGCGTTCACCTCTCCAGCAGCAGCACCGCTGACCACGCCCTGCCACATACCTATTGCCCAACTGAGGCAGGGGAGCCATCCGGCCGAACCTGCTCCCCCCCGCGATCAGGAGAGGGGATTGGCCCAGACCGTCGACACCCCCTGCCCAGCAACACGAATGTGTTCATTCAGTGGTGGCAGTTACGTGGTTGGTCCGGGGATGGTCCGGGGGCCAACCATGTGGCCTCCACCTCCAGCAGGAGCTGCCCCTTGCGCAGCTCCTCCGCCTCTGGCAGACGTGGACCTTCCTCCGTCTCTGGCTGTGCAGGTTGCCGACACGGTGGCTGCTCCGTGGCCCTCTTTCAAGGAGCTGGGATGGGTGCAGGCACTTACCGAGCCCCAGCCACTCCCACATAAGGAGTGGGAATGGGTGAGGGGACAGGCTGCATCCTGGCTGTTTGCATCCTGGGGGCCGGAAATGACCAGACCTTCTCCACTCCCATGCACATCAATGGGGGTCGCCGTGGTGCTGACCAGGACTGGATCAGAGCCGCCAAATCCTTTGCATGCCGCACTCGACCTGGTCCTGCAGTTCTTCTCGCCGACATTGCAACACCACCACCTGCTCCTGCTGTGTGGCTGCCAGCTCGGCCACCATTTGGGCCAGCTCCTTCCCTTCCCAGCGGTTTAGCTGTACATGTGCTGTGGCGATTGTGAAGTGGAGACTGTAGCTGCTGAGGGTGAACTACTGCTGAACCTTTGGATGGCCGACAAAACAGATCTTCCGATGTTTTCAGCTAAATCGCTGAACATGCTGGTAGGCAAGAAGTGAAGCAGCTCATGTCGGTGAGAAGTGACCATCGGGGAAGAGCAGACACAATCTGACCATTACCGGCACACTTTTGCATGGGAGGTTTTCGTAAAGCTTATACTTTGGTATTTCCGTTGATCCGTACAATAAATTTGCATGTTAGCTAAATATTTTGTTTCCTGTAACATTTAGATTTAACATTTAACATTTAGATTTAAATATAATATTTACATTTAACATTTATCATTTAGATGTAATATTTAACACTTAAAATTTTGTTTTAAATATAAAAAGTTACAAATATTTTACTAAATGTTGTAAAAAAAAAAGACTGGAAAAAACATGTTTTTGTAAGGTTTTGAGCTAAATGTGGAAAAATGTTGCCGTTAATTTCAGCATGTTTCACTTTACAAACGGCACCCCATAATCCTTGAACCTTCCCCCAGAGAGAGAAACTTTCACAACAGGATTGTCTACAGAAACATGATTTAAACATCCATAGCTTGGTTCCAGGGCACACATTAAGTGTACATGACTGCAAAGCAAATGTGTTAAATTTAGTTATGTGGTGGAGAGAAAAACTCATCGGACCCTGAGCTCCCAGATACTGCATTCACATTTCTCCCTGAAGTACAGACTGACTCTGGGTTAACACTTTAAGTCCTCACAACTCTCTGGTTGGTTTGGAACTAATCCTAGACTCGGAGGCAGCGAGTTCAGTCACGCAAAAAACAGAGTTAACAGCCTCAGACGGGATTACTGTCTCTTTGGACTCTGCTTGTTGAAAAGCACAGTGGGTTTTGGAATGATATTCAGAACTCCCCATCTTCCCCCACTAGAAACAGTCTTTGACATTGAATCAACAGGATTTTCAGTAGAGTCAGATGCCAAATTAACACAAACAGAAGCAAAAACATAATCGTTAACGGAAGAACTGGAGGCCCTGATGACTGTCTCCTGATTGGTGATTTCAGTACTGGAGCTAAACAGTTCAGAAATATGACCCCTATTATTTTCAAGGGAACAGAATTCAGTCTTTGAGTTCATAACATAATCACAATCGTCATTGCTGCTATCCTGACCAGGAACGCTGAAACCAGGCGAATCGTCCATGTTGAAAGCAGCCAACCCCTACTCACTCTCTTGATTCTACAGCTAAGGGTCTGGAGTAAATATCAGAAATACTCACTACTAGACGGTTCGTGGACAACAACACCACCGGTGGTGTTAGGTGTGTTGCAGCAGGGACACATGGAAAAGTTTCAGGACACCAGCCCTCGATGAGTGGAGTTTGAGACCCCTGCGCTACACTATATGAGCGTACCATATTTTGTGCCATAATCTGTTTTCATTTGCTCTCATACAGGACAGACAAGGACAAAGAGACTAAAAGTCCTTATCTCTTAATTCTCTGGTTTGGTTGGGTCGAATACACAAATGAGCAGGTGGTGACAACTGCCTGCAAGATGCTTGTCTACAAATTTCCCTTTGATGTTCAAATGTGCAACATCACCTTCAAGTCTATCATGCATTCTGGTGAGTCAATATCAAGTTCTACTTACATGTGCTTTTCATACTCTCATATATCTAAACCATGAAATATCACAACATATAGTCCTTTGTTCATCTGCTCACATTTATTTTTCTATTCCCTTTTAGATAATGAAATAGAATTAATTTACAACGAAGACAATGAATCGATGACAGATTTGACACGCAGCATGATGTGGAACCAGTACGAGTGGACGTTCGAGAACTTGACATCCACAACCAAATCCAGCATTATGTATCCATATCAAACTGCAATTATTTACACTGTAAGTACTTCTTAACCTCTTAGGTCCTGGCGTCCACATATTGGGACATTGCATTTTAGGTTTAGACCACAATACTAAATTTTGCAAAGATTTCCAAATAGCAAAGAGAAATTAAAAATGCATGCCATGAAAGAGTTTGGGTCTTAGGAGGTTAAAGCAGAAACACAGATGTGGAAATTGAGTCATTAGCCACATTTTAATAACATTTGTAATGAAAACAAAATTGCAGTTTGTTTTGAAAGGGTTTTAAAAAACTCAGCAAAAATATGTTTTCCTTGTGGTTTCTTTCCCCCGGAAGCATACACAGCATTTATTGGACAAGTACTAGATTTCTTTATCCCCCTAACCCCATTTTAAGTACAATCTGAAAAGGCCACAAAGTCCTGCAGACTTTACCACATCCTCAGCACATCATGGCTTATACTGTAAACTTGCTGTTCCATACAGAAGATTATCAAAGTTTACTCCTGCCATGCTGAAAAAAAAACACATCTGTATCCAATAAAACTTTAAAGCAAAGCATTTGTCCTTGTATTACAAACATTATTTCATGTTATTATAAGTTATTGGTCATATTTGATAAGTTCTTAGAGGAGACACAATTACAGGCAGCACAAAGAACCAACAACAGCTAAAAGGCAATAAGGAATTCTTTATTATTATTATTATTATTATTATTATTATTATTATTATTATTATTATTATTATTATTTTATTGCACAGATCACGATGAGAAGGAGGTCAGTCCTCTACGCTGCCAATTTCATTTCTCCAGTGCTCTTCTTCTTGGTTCTGGACTTGGCCTCTTTCCTGATCCCAGATGCTGGAGGCGAGAAACTCAGCTTCAAGGTCACTGTGCTGCTCGCTGTCACAGTGTTGCAGCTTATTCTGAATGACATTCTGCCCAGCACTTCACAAAGGGTTCCACTTATAGGTAACAAAGTAGGGTTTATTTGACTGAACGCATTAATAAATTACATTACTGAAATAGTCTGCTCTCCTCAGCTATCTACTGCATTGGGATTTTTATTCTGATGCTGCTCAGCCTCCTGGAGACTATTGTGATGATGTATCTGATTGAGAAAGACTCTGCAGCCCATCACAATGAGATGGATGAAGAACAAAGCCTGAGTTCAAACTGTGGAGACAAATGGTTCAAAGCCAACTTCTGTGTTAGAGGTGAGATTAAGCCTGTGGATCTAAACTCATGTAAGCAGGTTTATCTTTAGTTATGGTTAAAATACCCACACAATAACATTAGCATTTACATGACATTTAATTATATCATTTTAATTGTGTACCCTTAATCATTTTGTCTAATATCCTCCCAGGAAGGAAATCTAGTGACTGTGCATCTGTTTGTGATGAAAGTGCCGATGAAACGCAATCTGTGACTGAAAAGGTGAGACTTTAGCTACATTTTAAAGGGTTATTTATTTAAAGTGAAGTATAAAAATCATTGAGCTTGCATTTGAGAAATTACTTAGAGAAAGAGATCAAGATGTTTGTTTGTATATTAGTAGAAAACCCTTTTATTTCAGTCACAATGGAAACAAACCATTGTGTCAAATGTAGTAGCAGTCAGTGGCCTAAATTTGTTGATAACTTTCTTTAAAATGTAAAAACAAAACTTTTGCAGAGGAGCAGCGACAAGCTGACAGAGGTGTCCCTTGGTCTTGAACAAGTCTCAGCTGAACTGAGAGAGATTGGGAAAACAATAAGTCTGCTCAGCAGTAACGAGAAGGAAGAGAAGTTCGGATACTGGGCCAGAATGGTTAAAAAAATCAACAGGGCTTTCTTTATTTTTTATGTCACAGCAGTCACTGTATTTTTGTCAGTTCTTGCTTCAAAGTGGACCAGCTAAAGTAAAATAAAATATGAATTCATTAAAAGAGACAGAACTTATGTATTATTTGTTTTTTTCATAAATGTCATTCATTTCAATCAGTCCGAAGAAAACAAATGTCCCATTGAGTACAGGTTGGTAAGGTGTTCACTTCTTATATTTAGTGATCTATTTAGCATCATCAGAAATACAGACCCACAGCTGAAGAAAAAATTCAGATATTTAACAGTGATTTCTGCTCCACTTTACTGTGGTGGTTTCAGAGCCCCAGCGTAACAAAAGCTGCAAGGAAATGACATTGTCATTTGTCGCATATTGTGTAGCATCAAAATTGTGAAATTCAGCATCAAAGGTTTGGTTTCAACCAGTTATGAGGTAAACTTGGGTAGTAGTCTTCATGACTATTTTCAGTGCTCCTTATCGCAATAGAAAAATTCCAACATTTAAAACATTATTAAAATGTACATTTATATTTAGGGTTGTGCAGTATGACAAATTATATCAGATGTTGATATTAAAATGTCTATTGTTTTATATTATACTTAATTCTTTATTTTGTGCTGTGTAAAAACAGTAATGTGATCCTTTGCCCTCCAGCCGAACATCTTCGAGTTGCCAGATAGTTGCTGTGCTATCAGATGCACTAACTAGCATTTATTTAAAGCTGTCACAAGAGCATCAAGTTTAGCAACAACATATGAGACACCCAGCTAACCCTGTCTTACAGCCCCTATCACACAAATCCCTGCTTTTACCTGACACTGAAAAAATACTTGATCAACTTTACGTTATGGCACAACATTAATGTGAAAATGAATACTACCGGAACATTTCTGGCCATACAATGTAAATGTCCAGGCCAGATTTTTGTGTGGTAGCTGTTTAAGCTAGCTATGTAGCATTTATCTTTGCTTTAAAGATAAGCTATTTCTTTTTCTTTACTTCCCACATGGCGATATTATTTACCCATTATTTACAGATGGAAAATATATGTAGCCAGGGCTGGACTGATAATCTGGCATATCAGGCATTGTCCCGCAGGACCGGCACACTTTTTATATGTATATATCTGAATTTACAGAAAATGCACTATATTTAATGTATGCTTTTATTGCGATATGAGACCATATCACACAGCTTTATATTTCTACTCCTTAGCCTTTAAGTGATTTTCTTGTAATTATGGTGGACCTCATGTCCAATTTAAATTACATTTATTCTTTACTTTTTGCAGTCAAAAATAATGTTTCAATATATATTTAGGACATATATACATGTTTAATGTTCAGTAAGCTTCACCACAAGCCTCTCAGAACCTACAGCCCCTTTATGCACCTGCATGATTTTATTTAAATAATTATTGCACACTTTCTGTAAATCCAATCAACTTCATTTCACTTCTGAAATATTACTGTGTGTGTCTCCTATATGATATATTTAACTGACATTTTGTATTGTAACAACCAACGATTTATACAGGAAAATAACGATTATTAACAAGGTTGCCCAAACTTTTGCATCCCACTGTATTAGTAAACTTATATCTTAACATATAAGGAAATTAATGTATGCTTGATTATTTCTATTTCTTGCTTCTTGGCAATAAATCTTATACTGCTCAAAGCTTGTTTATGTCCCCTGAAATGGTCCCACATTTGTAAGTGGGTTGAGCAGCAGAGTTGGTTATGTGGATTATGTTCAAACTGGGAGCACAGACACTCCTAGAGTATCTTATGTCTGTTCCAAGCATTCCACATTTGACTGATTTGTCCTATGGCCTGTGCCATTCAAGTTGATGTTCTGCAAAGCCAAGTTGCAGTATTATTTGGAGTAAGCCCTAGTAGAATATGACATCACAAGAAGACTGTTTACGCACTCTCTCAGCTCTTTAAAACCGTAGATGGGCTTCTACAGATTTGCAGTCAAGGTTTACGGGACAACATGGCTGACAGCTCTCTATCCAGACAATTTGAAAGACACTGCACACAGTCAATCTCCAATCTCGTAGGGATGGCAGGAGGCCTGCCATGACTGCCGTTCACCATCAGGTTTATCCAGTGTCTGCAACATGTGCACTGGAATCTGAACATTTGGAAGAAAATTATGCTCAGCAATGATTCCAGGGTGGAGAAGTGTGGAGAAGATGTGGAAAATGGAGTAACAGCTTTTGGTGGAGACAGTGTGCTGGTGTGGGGCAGCATCTTCCTCACTGAATAAACAAGGCTTGTCATGACTGGAGGCAATCTGAATGCAGAGAGATATCGAGATGAGGTTCTGCAACCAGTGGCGATGGCATATTTCCACCATCTGGGACCAAACTGATGACAGTGCTCACCTCTGAAGAGCACGGCTATCAGAGGCTACCTCCAGAATTTGGGAGTGGTGATGATAGAAAGGACTGCCTGAAGTCCTGACCTAATACCTATTGAACACGTATGGGATCAGCTTGGGCATGCTGTTCTTTCCAAAATCACCAACACACCCACAATGGCTGTTTTGTGACAAATGCTTGTTGAAGCATGAAGTGCGATCCCACTGCGCTGTGTGACCAACCTGTTAACCAGCACGTGGAGGTGGTGACAGGCTGTTGTGGCTGTACATGGCTCTCATGTTACTGAGCCCCCCATTTGATAAATTAATGAATTATTAAATTGCCAGTATGTCTTGTTTCTCCAGACTTCAATCAAACAATCCAATAAACAACACCAAATATAGAGTCAATAGCAGAATAAACTGTTTTGGCATTGGTAGAGAGAATTTTGGTGAGTTTGTAATGGGCACAACCCAAATACTAGACTTTACAGCTCAATCCAAATCCAAATGCATTTTCCTTACAAACATGGCACCATTAAAGGGGAAATAAACAGGCTTTCCTAGAGGATAAGATTTATCACCAACAGGAACTGTTACAACATAAGAAATAATTAAGCAAAAATAAATGTATTTACTTTTTCTGCTAATTTTATATACACACATAATGGATATTTTTGCATGTTTTACACCATAGATACATAACACATACTCATTTATGGCAACAGTTGCAGTAAGCAATGTGTACCTGTTAAGTAATATACTGAGTGTTAATATTCTTCTGATCTTGATCTCAAATACACAATGTATATATTAAATATACTGAAAGTGTAGCTCTTTGAAGACTCGTAACTCATGTGTTGTGGGAATATAAAACAATATAGTTGATTCCTGTTGTAAATTCTAAATTGACACCTGCAAACTATATAATTCATGTATTGATGCATGATGGAATTAAAGTCATATTATTTGGTTCTTGAGTCTTGAGTCACTGTGTTATTTTATTTCTCTCATTCCAAGAGGCTACACTTGTAATTTTTAATCAGTGGGCTTTGATCAGTGGTTGTTGAATAATGGTCATGTCAGTTTGCATATTAATGATCAAGGAACTAACCTCCGAGCCCATTGTTCCTTCAGTCCTTCAGTGGCGCTAGTTTCAGTCATTATACAAATGTACTGTTTATAAGATTGGGGAAGCCTACAGTCAGCTGAGACTGAAGAAGTCACTTGGGTGAGTGACGAAACGTTTCTCCCACTGAAAATGCTACGTCCCGATGAACAGAATCAACTTTTGGGGACATAGCTTCTCACATTTCTCTCTCTCTCTCTCTCTCTCTCTTTCTCTCTTTGTGGAACAAACACACGCAGCAGCATGACTGAGAGTGAGAAGAGGAGGTAGACCCTAGCCAGCGATGCTATACTCTCCTGGCTGTGCCTGATGAAGCCCAGAAATGATGAGCAGAGAAAAAGACGTGTAAATCCAATATTTAGATTGCAGTTGCTTGGCCAGGATGAATTGGTAAATGATAAATGGTCTGTATTTGTATAGCGCTTTACTTAGTCCCTAAGGACCCCAAAGCGCTTTACACTACATTCAGTCATTCACCCATTCACACACACAATCACACACTGGTGATGGCAAGCTACATTGTAGCCACAGCTGCCCTGGGGCACACTGACAGTCCAGTCCGGTAATTAAAATTCAGGTGCAAATCTTTGATCTAATCCATTCTTCAAGATGATCTTTCTGCTGATCTGAAGTCTGGAGAACAGTTCTTTATAACAGAAGCATCACTTTCTATATTATTCCAGTGATTCCTGAGATTAGGGACAAAACATGTTTTAATTTTCTAAAATATATTTTTTGATTTTTCAAAAACATATTTACATATAATTGTTACACAAAGTTTTGGCTGTCTCACCATGTTTTGGTACACTCTTCCAGGTGTAACATTTTTTAATAATTTATGTTTTTGCTGAAGAAGTGCAAGGTTTTTGTCAGCACCGTCAGACACAAAGAAATGCAAAAATATATATTTTAAATTAAGTTGTTTCAGCTATTTTGACTATTAGCAGCTTCTCTATTCTATTGTTTATGCACATATGTTTTCAAAGTAATTATACCACATAAGTAAGTAAGATTGTTTTGGCTTTTTATTATTAGAGTTACAGTCATACATTCAGAAGCTTGTATTTAATCTGTATAAGAAACAGTCATATTAAGCAGGATGCAAATTACACATTTATTGAGAAAATTACGTATTTTTATTGGAAGATCATGAGGGAGGAAACTATATGGTTCTCCAAAAGAGAAAAATAAACAAAAACTCCATATTATGGAGTTGACAAGGTGCTGACGGTGGTGACACAAATCTGACGGTGGTGACACACTAGTAGAAAACAAGATATTATTTCTTTCGAAATTACAATTAAACCTTAACAACCTTTGTAATATCACAAGACACATCATGACAATTCTGTTTTTGCACATGTCAAGTTCTACATCTTAAGAGTTCACCAGCAAGTAGCTACCTACTACTCCTTGATTCCTTAAGTTCTCTGTGGTTGTGTGTTTAGACCCTGCTGTACTTTCTCTCCTTTTGACTCTCTGTGCTTGTTTCCAAAACCTTCTCTTCTGACTTTTTTCTCTTCCTTTTCAGATCACTGATGTTCTTTATTTTTCTCTTTTCCCCTCTATTTCTCCATCTTTCATCTTACAGAGTTTTATCAGAAAGGAGTGCAATAAATGAAATAAAAACAAACAAATTATCAACGCAGTGACCTCATGGCATGTGTATCAAACAGGAAGTGGTAAAGGGTGTAAGCTACCCACAATAATTCCTGATTTTTTTGTACTTTTAAAAAAATCTGATAGTGTTGACAAAAACTCTGGACACAATTTTAATCACTTAAAAAATATTTAAAAATAAATTTTCAATTTCATATTTTGATATTATATAAGGTATTTACTTAAATACTTAGTGACGAGAGCCATGATGTTTAATTATACATTACTTTTAATTTTCTGTATTTTAATATTATCACACCTGCTTCTGGACAATGGATTTTTAAGGTATTGGTAATGTATTGTACCATTTAAAATAAATATATATTTATAAAAAAATGCAAAATCATAGTTTTGTTGTATAAACATTGCCTTGGTTTGTCTTTTAGGCAGTTGGGTTAACACTTGTATGCATATTTTTAACCACAAAATTGGGTTTTATCTACCGGACATGTTTTGTCCCTTATCTCAAGAATCACTGAGTGGTCTTTTATTTAATTTCCCTGTTTCTATTGTAAAGCACTTTGGTGTACCGTTGTTTTTTAAAAAAATGTGCTGTATAAATAAAGTTGTATTGTTTTGTATTGTAACATGCAGAGTAGCGGACAGAGCGAGTAGGTTTGGTCGGATGGCTCCCCAACCTCAGTCAGACGATGGGGGTATGTGGTGGGGCGTGGTCTGCCCTACTGTTGCAGGGGAGATGGGCGCACCTGCACGACATCTGTAATCATGACTCGCCGGCAAAAAAAGGTTGGCTGTTTGTCTGTGTTGTTGTTGTTCATGGGAGTCGGGCTGTGAGCTGGAAAGCTACAGCCAACTCAGTGTATTTGTGGCAGCAACCGGAGTACCGTATTTTTCAGACTATAGGGCGCACTTAAAACCCTTTAATTTTCTCAAAACTCGACAGTGTGCCTTATAATCCGGTGCGCTTTATGTATGAATTCTGGTTGTGCTTAAGCCGCACCACTTGATGGATTGTTGGAACATTACAGCTAACAATCGGGAGCCTGATATGTACTGTGCTTCAACAATTATTACTGTATTGTGTGTGTATAAGGATCCCAAATGGCACCTGTTAAGAGACATGCTTACGAAGTGGATTTCAAACTCAAGGCTATCAGTCACACAGTAGAACATGGGAAGAGAGCAACTGTGAGGGATCAACATTTATGAATCAATGGTACAGAAGTGGAGGAAGCAAGAAGAATGAGTTGAGTAAAGTTTGATTTATCTGATTGTTTTGTTTCACTTAATGCACCTCATAATCCAGTGCGCCTTATGAATGACACCAGACCCGTTCATCGACAGTGTGCCTTATGGTCCAAAAAATACAGTAAAGAAAATGCTAAAGAGTGTTGAAATGTTTCGTTGTTCAGACAAATTTTACCAGTGGTGAATACGGTACTGCGTATA